TTTGTTATTTTAAATCCAATAAAAAATAAATATTGTTTCAATTCTGTCTTTCATTCTTTGTTTTTCTGTCATTTTTTTTGGGATGAAATTCTGCTATTAATTCTGTTCTTATAATATCATTAAAATAAACACCAATCAGACAAACTGTTAATCTAAAATTGTGAGCAGTTTCTTTTTCAAATTGATAAATAGAAAACTTTTATTTTATATGATTGGTTTAATATGAGAAGTATAATACAACAATAATAATTAAATATTCACAAGTTTTGAAGTAATTAAATGAATAATCAAAATAAAAAGATGTTAATGAAAAGTTAATGAAAAAAGAAATAGAGTATAAAAGAATATTTTAATAAGATTATATTAATGCTAATTCAGATTTGTTTATTTTTATCATATAAAAAATAAAAGAAATTTATGAATTTAAACAAAACTCATTTCAACAACAGTATAACTGGATTTTGATTAGAAAATATTATTTTTGATTTTTTTTTATCATTTTTTTCTACAAAAATTCAATCATTTGATAAGTAAGATACACCAAATTAATCAAAATTATGATGATGCAAAGATAATTATAAGATTAAGAAAGTGATAATATAAAAGATAAAGGGTTGTGTATATATTACATTAAGAAAGTTAGAAACAAACACATTTTCCAATTTATAAGAGAATATTCATAAAAAGAATGTAAAACATATCATTTAATTTGTTATAATGAAGAATTAATAATATAGAAATATCATTCTGTAATGAAGATCTTGTAGAAATTCAAATAAAAAGATATACAAAAGAATAATCATAGAAATAAAAAATATAAAAACTAGATATAACAAGATATAGTTCATTAGTTATTATCTTCATTAATGTACATTTAAAACAACAGAATGGAAATAAAATTATAATAGATAAGGTAAAACTTATAAAGTAATACAAAAAGAAACAGAATAAATAATGAAGAAAAAATAATAAACTCGTCTTAATTAATAAAGATTAAATACTACTTAACTCAAAATCAAATAAATAGAATTCAAAAATAAAATAAACTAATTGAGTTAAATTTATTTTTACCATTAATACGTTTTAACTATATTAACACTAACCACATTATATTTTCTATTTGTATTTGTTCATTAAAAAAATATAATAATAAAAGGAATAAAACAAATAATAAAAAATGTGATAAAATACAGTAAGAAATGAATAAAAAACAAATAAATTATAAATTAAAAACAAATGATGATAATTTAATGTAAATAAAATAATAAACATAAAATGAAATAAATAAAATAACAAATCAAATTGAATGAATAATAAAATCAATACAAATAAATAATAAAATAAGAGAATAAAATGAAGAATAATCAATAACAATTCATCATTCATTAAATATAAATAATAAATAATAGTTAATATAAATATATTATTATAAATGAAATTGATATTACAAATTAAATATAATAAATATACAAATTAATAAAATAAGAGAATATAAAGAGAATATAATAATAAAATAAGATATATTCATTCTTATTCTTATTTTATATTAGATGATATTTTATTATTTTATATTTGTTTATATTGTTTGTTTATATTTTATTATTATTATTATTATTTATTGTTGTTTATCTTATATCATTTATTTATTATATGTTGTATTGTTATTTATCATTGTTAATATGAAATGAATAATAATGAATAAATATAAAATAAGAATAAAAAGATATAAGAATATAACATAAATAATAAAATAAGAAATACATAATAAATATAAAGATAAAAGAAGAAGAATAAAATAAATAAATATAAAAGAAGTTAATTAAGTATTAATAGAACTTGTGTCTATTGTTCCTGGCTCAGGGGAGACTAATCCCGTCCCTGAGTCTTCGTCTTGTAGTTCAACTACATATGTTTGGTTGTGATCTCCACAGTGCTCCATGACGTCCATCATGTTTTTAATTACAAGGTTTTTAATTTCTTTAGTGATGTCAATTTCGATTTTTAATTGTTTGATTAATTTAATACTTTCCGCATTTACTAGCCCATTAATCGAAATTACTACTGCAATTATTTTGACATCCTTTAATTTCTCTATTTTCATCACCCTATCTTTCAATTCTTTATACATATTTCTTTTCTTCCAATAGGCTCCATTAATATTATGATCTGCCACAATAGTCATATCAAATATTAGACCAGTTTTATTCTTTTTATTTAGTACATATATGTCTGGTCTTTTATGATATAGTCCATCACTTTTTGGCATTATTTGTTTGTTCAATATCATAGTGATGTCATTGTATTGGAACACTGTTTCATATGGGGGTTTTTTGTATTGTTTATTTCCTGTGTATTTTCTTATTAACCCCTCCCATATGATAATGCCAATATTGTCATGTTTCTCAATTTGTGATTTCTTATGACCAATACAAGATAGTAGAATGTGTTCTACTGTGGCTATCTTGTCTTTACAAAGTGGGCAGTACTTTAATCTTTCATTTTTTAATATTTTCGCTTTCCTGTACCCACTAAATATTGCTCCATCTTGCATTTTAGTTAATTGGAGAAATGCATTTTTCTTTATATTGATGGACTTCCATGCATTGATTGTAGTAGTTTTATCTACCCCTTTTGACTCGAACCATCTTCTAAAATGTCCACTTGTTTGATGGGACTTCCATTTTTTGATGTATTGGTCGGTCATTAATTTCTTTATTTTTACTACTACCTCTTTTTCTTTTTTATTTTCAATCCCTTCATTTATTATTTCTTCTATTTTCGTTTCTGGGATTTTATGACCTAGGGCTTTTTTAATTCTATTCCATATTCATTTC